CTGCAAAATCCTTGGGGCCAGACATACTTTGAATTCTTTTTCTTGATTTTGTAATGTGTACATATAAATACACAATGAGATACCTATGGCCCCTTCCACACAGCTGAATAAAAAATCCCACATTATCTTCTTTGAACTGGAGTATATGGAAGTATGGACTCAGATAACCCAGTTCAAAGCAGATATTGTGGGATTTTCTGACTCGATATTCTGGGATATAGGGCTGTGTGAAAGGGCCCTTAGAGACGGAACCCAAGTCTAAACCCAAAATCCATTTTGGTTTCATATACATCTTATACACATGGCCGGAAGACAATGGTTTCAGCAAAAATTAAATACATCAGGACAACAAAATCTTTGTGTTTTTCCAAGTTGCAAAGAGGTCGTGTTTGCTGATGTAGAAATGTATATCTTGCAGGGAACACCTGAAGGCACAGCGATATTCTGTATCTAAAAGGGGAAAAAACAATTAATTAACATGATCACAATCTATAGATAAGCACATGAAATCAACAAAGTGTAAGTGATTAACTTTGGCACTTATCTCCCATCTGAGATAATGAGGGCTGAGATGCAATCTTGGACACAAGCTGAGCGAATGCTCCTGTGTAATGAAACCCTCCCGTACTTTCAGGGATTATTCACAAGGGCAGGAAATGAAGCAAAAAAACAATAATCACCTATTTAGAGTAAGGACAAGAAGCTTTCCTCCAGTTGGATGTTATGACATCATAACTGCAAGATTACTACATGATGGAGTCTAAATTCATCCCTCTTGTGGTTGTGATAGATCTGAGCATTCCTAATTCTATGGATCTAGATGCTGAAATTCACTATGTAGCTTCTATGTCATTGGGTGTGGTGCAATTGGACTTTGAAGGTGCTCTCCAATGTGTAGAATTTATTTTGAGAAACTGGTTCAGGACATTGGACAGTTACTTTACAAACTAAAAATTGGACTGGATTCTCCAACCATTGGATTCTCCAAATGACTTGAAGGCACATAACTTTTGTCATTATATGCCTTCAAGTCATTTACAATTAATGGTGAGCTATGGTGAAGCCGTTGTGGGAATATATTGACAAGACTTTTCAGAGGAGGCTTGCCATCGGGAATGGGACTTACCCTAGGTCTTCCCAGTAGGTTCCCACAACTGAGCAGAGAATCAGCCCCTCTTCTCCCTAAATCCTAGACTAATACTCAAACAACTACATCTAGTTTGCTATCATCATCCATCTCTAGGTCCTCCCAGTAGGTTCCCACAACTGAGCAGAGACTTGGTCCCTCTTCTCCCTAAATCCTAGACCAATACTCAAACAACTACATCTAATTGGCTATCACCATCCAGCTCAAGGTCCTCCTAGTAGGTTCCCACAACTGAGCAGAAACTCGGCCCCTCTTCTCCGTAAATCCTAGACCAACACTCAAACAACTACATACAGTTGACTATCATCATAGATCTCAAGGTCTTCCCAGTAGGTTCTCACAACTGAGCAGAAACTCGGCCCCTCTTCTCCGTAAATCCTAGACCAACACTCAAACAACTACATACAGTTGACTATCATCATACATCTCAAGGTCTTCCCAGTAGGTTCTCACAACTGAGCAGAGACTTGGTCCCTCTTCTCCCTAAATCCTAGACCAACACTCAAACAACTACATCTAGTTGGTTCTCATCCATCCACTGGACAACATTACTGAAGTCACAGCATAGGATGAATAAACCAGGGAAGATCTAACATTACTACTCCAAAGATGCAGTAAGTGTGAGGCATGTCTAGATTAAAAATACCTCATTTGAATTTTGTTGCTTGAATTTGCAGCTTAAATGTTGAGACCACAGAGAGTTCTTTTTTGCCATCGCTTACATTGGTGTTATGGTGTTATTTAGATAATTAGTTGCATATGCATGCAAGCTGTCCTGGATCCACTCCCAGAAATTCACAAGAGTGGATGTTGTTGCTGCGTCTGCTGCTTCTCCACAAGCCAATAATGTTTTGATTTAACTTAGGGGAAGAAAAACAATGATATTGTTCCAAGAATGCCGAAGACCAACACTCAGACTCTTCTAACCTATGCCACAGATACATGGCAGCTGGGCCTTTCTGTCCATGTCTGTTGTTGTAAATGGATTTGAAAGCTGACTTCTCCTGTATTGTGTATTTTGGCTTTTGGACAGAATTCAGTTTTTTCCCCTGTTCTTTCTTGACACTTCAGATCGCCTTTTGTGTAAGTGTGTTGCATTCTCTCTTGAATTTTTATCAAGTCCAGATCCTTGGAGGGAAGAAATAGAAAGACAAAGGGAAACAAAATCCAAAAATGTGATTGTCATGTTGACCAGAAGGTCACAAGGCCAGGGCAATGGTAGGAGGGTAGGATTCACCATTGGGTCAACAATTCAAATGTAAAGATGACAAAAGGTATCACTTTTGCCATCTCAGCTTCTAGAGCTCCCCATCTCGGACAGAAGGAGATAGGCCAATCTTGACAAAATCTTCCAAAAAGGGCTGAAGTCCAATTTCCTCCAGCCTGCACTGTTCAAAATAAATGTATTCAGGGATTTCCATCACAGAGAGAACTATATCATACCCACTTCCCATTAAAGTCAAGGAAATTGCAGTGAAAGAGGTTGCAACCAAAATTCAGCATCACTAATGCAACTGAATTCGTACACATAATCTTTTCTAAAAGATTGGTCTAAAGAAGTCTTGAGTTGTCAGGATGTAGTTCATTAGCTCTCACAGCTTTTGTTGCCTCCACGTCCACAAGTTCCTTTCTTTCTTTTTATTGAGGACTTTAGCCATGGCATCGGCCCAGCCACCATTTTCAGTGTCTTTGGAATCTCCTGCCTTTTGAATTTCAGTGTCCAGAATTGCAGGTTCATCTTCATCATCACCTTCCAGATCTTCCCCTCCAGGAGAAAAGCTGTCCTCTGGAAGATCTGAGCCTGAGTCGAAATCGAGGGCTCCGTCGTCTGTCAACGTGGCTTCCATGGTGACCCTCTTTCCTTCCTTCCTTTTCTCAGGTCCCACATGGGCAGCTGACCCTTTCTGGAGGATCTCGCGAGGATCCTCCTCCTCCGCCATCACCACCCGGAGTTCTCGCCCCTTTCTTTTTAAAGCAATTTCATGGCTCTTCTCTTCCAAGAAAAGGAGATCGCATCAACTCAGGTGTAGTTCACTGAGATCGTGTTAAGGTTTGAAGGGCAAATTTCCTACTCTCCAATTTTTAAAAGAGGTATACAGCTATAATAAGAAATTGCTTTTTCATCAATACTCATAGAATCATAGAATCAAAGAGTTGGAAGAGACCTCATGGGCCATCCAGTCCAACCCCCTGCCAAGAAGCAGGAATATTGCATTCAAATCACCCCCGACAGATGGCCATCAGCCTCTGTTTAAAAGCTTCCAAGGAAGGAGCCTCCACCACACTCCGGGTCAGAGAGTTCCACTGCTGAATGGCTCTCACAGTCAGGAAGTTCTTCCTCATGTTCAGATGGAATCTCCTTTCTTGTAGTTTGAAGCCATTGTTCTGCGTCCTAGTCTCCAGGGAAGCAGAAAACAAGCTTGCTCCCTCCTCCCTGTGACTTCCTCTCACATATTTATACATAGCTATCATGTCTCCTCTCAGCCTTCTCTTCTTCAGGCTAAACATGCCCAGCTCCTTTAAGCCGCTCCTCATAGGGCTTGTTCTCCAGACCCTTGATCATTTTAGTCACCCTCCTCTGGACACATTCCAGCTTGTCAATATCTCTCTTCAATTGTGGTGCCCAGAATTGGACACAATATTCCAGGTGTGGTCTAACCAAGGCAGAATAGAGGGGTAGCATGACTTCCCTAGATCTAGACACTATGCTCCTATTGATGCAGGCCAAAATCCCATTGGCTTTTTTTGCCGCCACATCACATTGTTGGCTCATGTTTAACTTGTTGTCCACGAGGACTCTAAGATCTTTTTCACACATACTGCTCTCGAGCCAGGCATTGTCCCCATTCTGTATCTTTGCATTTTGTTTTTCCTGCCAAAGTGGAGTATCTTGCATTTGTCACTGTTGAACTTCATTTTGTTAGTTTTGGCCCATCTCTCTAATCTGTCAAGATCGTTTTGAATTCTGCTCCTGTCCTCTGGAGTATTGGCTATCCTTCTTTGGATTATAGGTGGAAAAAATGAAAGAAAGGAAAAATTGAAAGAAAGGGAAAATAACAAGAAAGCTACTGAAATACTGCAGTTGATTTGAAGCACTGACAGAAAATAAGATGGGTCGATGTCATTGTCATCGTCATCATCATCATCATCATCATCATTGTTCAGATACATTTTTGAACTGATTCATTTACAAGGAAAGTGCTGCATAGAAGATTCCCTCCTAATTTTTTTAATCATTTTACAGTTTGTAAATAATAATACAGTTGATTTTGGGAATGTTTGTGCATTTCTAATTCTTGTTAATGTACATCTAAGGCACCTTGAGTCTCATTCTCAAGGAAAAGACAGGATGTGATTGAAATCTATAAGAACAAGAACACTCGCAAGAGCACTTCAATTTCCTTTTGTCTCACCTTGAGGATAGAAATCAGTACATTTTGGGGCATTCTTATCAAAAAGAACCTCAGACAAAATTGCCTCCTTTCAGTAGCTCTGGAGAAATGCAGGCGGATCCACAACCTTTTGCTTCCAGAGATACCTGCTATAATACGATTGTGGGAATGCAGGCTGAGGCATGGTTATCAATCACTATTGGCATCGCTGTAAGTCAAATGATCCTGAAGATTTCACTTGGAGGACCTTAATGATGATCTTCATTAATCACTCGCTCACACCCACCTCTTGAACTAACAATACTTCTCCAGTTAATGAAGGTTGAGAGAAAGTCTATTAGTGGGCCTCCGGCTCATGGACACTTTTATTCAGAAGCAAAAATGTGCTCAGGAAGGATAATAAATTGCAATGTCCCAGGAAGCCTCAAACTAATTAATCTCGTTATTCTTTCTTTCTCTAGGAAATATTTAAGGCGGAAGCCAGCTTCGGAATTATAAGGCAAAGAAGGTCCATTGTGGCAACTCCAATCTTAATTCCTGAAAATCAAAGATCTCCATTTCCAAGAACTGTAGGCAGGGTAAGTGGCGAAACCTGCATGTGTGTGCCTTCAAGTCAACTGTTTGCTTATTGTGACTTCATAAATTTCATAGGGTTGGTTGATGTGATTTTGCCAGTTCTGGCCTACAGCACAATTAATTAATGATCCATTGGCTGCATCTCCCATCCAAGTTCTAATCAAGGTTGATTGTGCTTAGTTTCCTCGATCAGGTGGATCTGGTACCTCTAAGATGTTTAGGTCCTAAGTGGAGAACTGTAGTAGCCCTAAATGGAAAGGGTTGGTATAGCTTGCTTTGTGTGGCCATTTGCATTGTTTGTTCAATATGTCTCCACAAACACAGTAGAGTGGATGCATTTCCTAGGCGTTTGAAATACGAATAGCACAGCAATTCCTCATGAATGGATTTGGTTCCTGCTTGTCCTTTGTTACTGGTTTCATTTCCACTGGAGCCAAAACATCTGGAGGGTTGAAGTTGGCCCATGCCAGCCCTAGAAATTCAGAATGGCTGATTTATTTATTTGTCGTGTCAGGGCAACCACCAATTATATTACATTTCTAACAGAACAAAGCAAACAAACAGACAAAATACAAAATTTGTGAGTCTGGTAGTTGATTAAATGTCCTTTGACCAGTATCTGGCCACTTGGAGTGCTTCTGGTGTTGCTGCAAGAAGGTCCTCCATTGTGCATGTGGCAGGGCTCAGGTTGCATTGCAGCAGGTGGTCACTCACATGTCGAGGATTCCACTTTGTGGCCCCATTTCTTAAGGTTGGCTCTTCATCTTGTGGTGCCAGAGCGCAGTCTGTTCAGTGCCTTCCACGTCGCCTAGTCCTCTGTGTGCCCAGGGGGGAGTCTCTTGTTTGGTATCAGCCATTGGTTGAGGTTCTGGGTTTGAGCCTGCCACTTTTGGACTCTCGCTTGCTGAGGTGTTCCAGCGAGTGTCTCTGTAGATCTTAGAATGGCTGATAATTCTCCAGTATGGTGGGATTATTTTATGATCCATGAAGGTTCTGATATGCAGATGGTAGCTTTCACCGGCCCAAGGATCCTGCCTACATCTTCAAGGTGTTCCACTGGAAATGGATCCAATAACACAGGGCAAGCAGGAGCCATATCCATTGATGAGGAGTTGTTGTGCTATAACTACATAGTGTGAAATGGCCCCTAATCTTTGAGTGTGGCTTATCCAGAATATAATTTGCAAGACATCAACTAAACCAGATGGGTCTCTGATTTATTTATTTATTTATCGTGTCATCAGCAACCATTGTATTACAATTCTAACAGAGCAAAACAAACACACAGATTAAAAAGAAGAAGAAAAAAACACACAGATTTTGCAAATTTGGTAGTTGGTTAAATGTCCTTTGACCAGTATCTGGCCACTTGGAGTGCTTCTGGTGTTGCTGCAAGAAGCTCCTCCATTGTGCATGTGGCAGGGCTCAGGTTGCATTGCAGCAGGTGGTCACTCACATGTTGAGGATTCCACTTTGTGGCCCCATTTCTTAAGGTTGGCTATTGATCTATCTAGCATTTTAATGATTTATATAGTGTTTTAACTTAATATTGTATTTACTAATCTGGACCTTATGTATTTAATTGTTTGTCCTATATGTGAAAGACCCATGGTTTAAGCACTGGATAAACTACATTTGGGACCGTTGATGGAAAAACTCAGTGTGTGCTGGATATGTGACTTGCCCCCTTTCCCCTCTACCCCTCACTCACTATGTATATCCAAATACAGTTATTCCAAAATCTGGAAAAACCCAAAATTTTACAAAAATCCTGACCCCAAGCATGTTGGGTGAGAAAAACGCAACCTGTATAGGAAACAAACGAATATTATTAGAGGCATTGCTGTGCTGTATACATTATGTGAGATCAGGAACATCCTTTTCTGTGCTTGGTTTTGCTCCCACTCCCCATTATTCTACACCTTGGTTCCAATCTCCAAGGGAAGCCAAAGAACAAAAATTTGCTGGCAAGCCGAGCAGCTTGGGTGTAATAAAAATGTAATATTGAGTGTTATTGAACTTGCTCCCTATAAGGAGGAACACAGCTGAGCTGATCAATAAAATGCTGTAATGAGTTACAGTCATCAGATCAGAGCGAGAAAAATGAATTAGCTCTAACTCTGTATGGTCATTTTCAGAAATGCTAACGTGCCTCAGAAAGCTTCTTGCTGGCAATCTGTGCTTCTGTTGTTCTGATGTGTTGTTACAAAGCACATCTGTGACAACAAGGAATAAAGACCGAGGCTCTTTTGGCATTTTATTGTGTACAGATACACCAGAACACTGTTGTTTGAGTCCTCAGGCAACGGAGGATTTGTATGAACTTTTAGCGACCAAAAGTTGGTTCCTCTTGGGAGTCGCTCACATTAAGGAGTATCTACTGTTGTTGACAGGCTTTGGAGAAATATGGAAGCAGCTGGTAAAATATCCTTTTTTATTGCAACTCCAAGAACATGTTTAGTCCAAAAAGGCTGACTAAAGGAGTCTGAGATTTGGTTGAAAAATAAGGTTGACATCCTGTTAATACATTACTCCTGAAATGTACAGGTGGTATTTTCATCCCTCCTCCCAGTTTTATTATTTATTTATTTCATTCACTTATACCCCGCCCTTCTCACCCCTAGGGGGACTCAGGGCGGCTTACATAAAGGGCACAATTATATGCCCAAATCACATAACAAGTAATCCAAAAAATATAAAATTCAGCAGTTAAGTTAAAAACAACAATACATAATGAAACATAATCCTAAAAACAATCTCATGTCAGAGTCCATATGTCAGAGTCCATACATCCGTTCCATTCCATTTGTCCTTGTCTGTCCCCGGTCCTTGATTTAGTTATCAGAGTGACCAAAGGCTTGGTCCCACATCCAGGTCTTTAGTTTTTTCCTAAATGCTAGGAGGGAGGTCGCCGATCTAATCTCCCCGGGGAGGGCGTTCCACAGGCGGGGGGCCGCCACTGAGAAGGCCCTGCTCCTCGTCCCCGCCAGCCTCACTTGTGATAGTGGCGGGGTTGAGAGCAGGGCCTCCCCAGAAGATCTTAAACTTCGAGATGGGATGTAGAGGGAGATCCGTTCGGACAAATACACTGGGCCGGAACCGTATAGGGTTTTGTAGGTCAAAACCATCACTTTGAATTGTGCTCGGAATTGGATCGGCAGCCAATGGAGCTGACGCAACAGGGGGGTGGTATGCTCCCTGTACGCCGCTCCGGTGAGCAATCTGGCTGCTTCTCGCTGGACTAGTTGGAGTTTCCGAGCAGTCTTCAAAGGCAACCCCACGTAGAGTGCGTTGCAGTAATCCAGCCGGGATGTGACAAGAGCGTGGACCACCGTGGCCAGATCCGACTTCCCAAGGTACGGGCGCAGCTGGCGCACAAGTTTTAATTGTGCGAAAGCTCTCCCGGCCACCGCTGACACCTGGGGTTCCAGGCTCAGCGATGAGTCCAGGATCACTCCCAAGCTGCGAACCTGCGTCTTCAGGGGGAGTGTAACCCCGTCTAACACAGGCTGTAACCCTATACCCTGTTCGGCCTTCCGACTGACCAGTAGGACCTCTGTCTTGTCTGGATTCAATTTCAATTTGTTAGCTCTCATCCAGTCCGACACAGCAGCTAAACACTGGTTCAAGGTCTGGACAGCCTCCTTAGTGACAGGTGAGAAGGAGTGACAGATTTGGACGTCATCTGCATAGAGATAGCATCTTAGTCCGAAACTCCGAATGATCTCTCCCAACGGCTTCATGTAGATGTTAAATAACATCGGGGACAAGATTGAACCCTGTGGGACTCCACACAACAACGGTTGTGGGGCCGAACAGGTGTCACCCAATAACACCTTCTGGGTCCGTCCCTCTAGGAAGGATCGGAGCCACCGCAAAGCAGTAAGACATGGCACTACAGGGGCCAGAAAAATAGTACATGTCAATAACTGGCTTAGAAAATGGTGTCAGGAGGAATGCTTTGGCTTCCTCGACCATGGCCTGCTTTTCCAGGAGGATGGCCTATTGGCAAGGGATGGGGTGCTGGGATCTATTTATAAATCCAATTTATGCCAGCCATAGTTCTGAAAGATCAAAATTATGTGCCAACCATGCAGTAACCTATTTATATGCCTCAATATAAATAGCCTTCTCAGTGATTGCCCCCTGGTTATGGAACCCCTTTCCTGACGAGATTAGATCAGCCCCCTCCCTCCTGCCCTTCAGAAGGATGGTGAATGCCTGGCTGTGGGACGAAGCTTTTGGAGCAGTGCAATGAGGCAATAATAGAATGGTGTCCTGAGATGGTTTTTAAGCAACTGATTTTAAAGTGGATATAAGTGATTTTAATGTTTGTATATTTTTATGGTTTTATGTCCCGGCATGGAATGCTTGCCCTATCTATGTTGTGCTCCACCCTGAGTCCCCTGAGTCGGGGTGAGAAGGGTGGAATATACATGTTTTAAATACATAAAGAAATATAATCTTTTTCTAACAAGCCACTCTGGGTGTGAGTCCATCCCATGGAAAATAATAAAACCAAAACAACAAAAAGAACCAGAGGGGTCTTCACTCTGAATAATTTTATCATAATGACCTATGTAGCAGATGTATTATGAACCCCTGAAAGTGAATAGCAAAGATGTACAATGAGACAGCAGCAAGAGAGTCCCAATGTACACAGAGCTCTACCAACGGGAATGGGGTCTGCTTGTGCATTTAACCCATTATGAACTTTTCTAAACCAAACATGTGCAAACTTCAGCCCTCCAGGTGTTTTGGACTACAATTCCTACTGGCTGTTAGGAATTGTGAGAGTTCCAGTCCAAAACACCTGGAGGGCCAAAGTTTGCCGATTCCCGTTCTAAACGTATCCAGTAGGGGTGTGCACAATATCAATTTGGTGTTCCAGATTCAGTATTCTATGCAGTTATACCAGGAGCCACATGACCTTAGAGGTGTCTATAGACAATGATGACTCTTCGGCTTAGAAATGGAGATGAGCACCAGAGTCTCAGAGTTG